AAAATTTGAGTCAATTTCAGTCGAGTTTACCTCTCTGATCGTTGCTGTATTTAGGAGAATTTCTGTGGAATACACTTAACGAATTTCCTCGCTTTCTGTTATTCAATTTACGGTAGAAAAGTCTGATTTCAAGTGATTTTAAAAGCAACGACTGACAAAACTTGTTTTTGTAGTAAAACTTCAAACTTCGCACGAAATTTCACACCGCAAAAACAATTTTGAAGAACTTACCTGGTGAAATAAATGCAACTAACATAAAGAAGTTCGAAAAAAATCTGTTCTTTAATACATCTTTCTTTGTCTACTATCTGAGTTACTCGCTCGTTGCCAAGATTGTTTACAAATCGTTAGTAGACGGCGCGCAAGCCGATTCAATGACAAGACGTGCGTAAACAAACCCATTTGTAACCTGTAAAACCAATTTACCACAGGAAAAAAAAATAATAAATTTGTTATTTGCCGGCTTAGGGTCGGTCCGTACAGTGAAAAACTGTGACCTCGGGTGTCATAAAAGTGTGTTATAAAAGTGTCACAATAAATGAAAAAATTCAAAAAAAAAACAAACGAAATGTTTCTATATATATATTCACTCGCTTGGTATTTCTACACCGACATCTCAGCAGGTTCAAATGGAAATTTTGGTGGAAAAACGGGAAGAATTTCTGATTGCCGGGTATGTAGTTTTTGAAAAATCGTGCCGGTGAGTCAACGAAAGTTCGTACAATCTGTGCAAAACCAAATCATTGTAAAAACTCGTTTGGTATTTCCGACCAAAGATCAAAATTCTGAAATACTCTCGGGAGGTTTCAATGATCATTTTTGTGGATATTGAATGTATAATGATTATTCATGAAGTTTCGAATGCCGGGTATCAACTGTGCCCATGAGTCGTGGTCTTTATAGTATGCCGAAGCTAAGAGAATTCGTCCACAACAAAAGCAAAACATCATTTAGAATCGCTTTGCATTTCTGAACAAATTTCAAATATTCTCACAGGGTTTCAACTTCAGAAATTATTCTGCGAGAGTTGACACCGGAGTCAGAGTAAGAATTTTTTCCAAGTGTCGAAACATCGAGATTTTCTAGTATGCCCAAGCTCGAAAATTCCTCAACCACAAAGCCAAAATTATAATTGAAATCGCTTGACATTTCTAAACAAAGATCCACAATTTTTTTAAAAAGGATTGGATGGGTTTTTCCGTGGAAATTCTAGAATAATTTCAGACTGCCGGGTATGTAGTATTTTAACAACACTTCCCGGCTGCCGGGTATCTGGACACAATGTTTAAAATTGTGCCAAAATTGAGTCCGTAGCTTAAAGCTTCGCGCTTCCCAACAAAAAATTGAAAAGCAATAAAACTTACCTTCGTATCCCGCACAAATGTCTGCAACATCGAGTACCGTGCTCTAAAATGATGATTTTCCTTGCTTCGTGGTCACAACACCCTTGGTAAGTTCTAATTTGTTCGGTGCGACATTTCAAGTTGACATTCATCTCTTTTTAAGTTGTCCCTGTTTTAGCGACTGTAAATGCATCCTCGTCCTTCCCATCCCACAACAATGAAGGTCAACATTCGGGTCTCTACATAAATAACACAGCAGCGTGACGACATGGACCATTCGAAAATATTCTGTGCGTTACGGTACTGTCTATGCTGTGAAACATCGATCTCCTGTTGATTTCTATCCGCCATTTTGCTTTCATCGTTTGAGTTCGGCCTAAGTACTAATAATGCTCTTGTTACAGGACCTTTGATTGGTTTAAAAAAGACAAAAGATGATTATATATCCGGACACATAATTGGCGAAGATGAGGCCTGGCGAAGATCAAATTTGCAGCGGAATATAAATAAACGCGCGACAAATTTGGCACGTTCGTAGCATTTCATTCGTCAATGAAAGATAAAATCTTTTACTACAAACAAGAAGATCTGTTAGATCTTATAACCACGCTTTAAAAATGAAACAGTTCGCTTAGCACTACCGTGGGAACGCAGTGCACATTCTTGATTCTTTTCTTACTGTAGACATCACATCACTTGATCAACACAAACTGTGTTATTGCACCATCAGTGGTAGCCGTTGACAAATCTCCGATGACGTAANTGGTCTTAATCTAGAACTTTCTTCGGGATATGTATGGGCATGAACGATATGAACGACACAATAATAACACTATTAACAACAGCTTTCTTTCTTAAAAGTCATGATTAAATTTAATTGGTGTTATCCACGAGTAAAGGGCTAGCAAAGTAGTCACACAAGTCATATCAAAAAAAAACCCTATCCCGACCGATGTATCGATTTTGGTCACTCCAGTGACCACAGATTGAAAACGTGACATGTTTATTTGCTCAAAATTGGTGCAAAATCTTTCGGAGATGGAAGTCAGGACATTTGTAAGAATACAGAAAGTAATTTGGGACCGGTTGCTGGCTTCTAAGGCTGAATTTATCCAGAAGTAAGCTGTATTTTCGTTTTCGTGCCGAAAGCCATGCGATGAAATATTATCGGCTTGTTCTGCTGTCTTGTTCTGTTTTTTCTCTTGGTCTTTTCTGTAGCCCGCCGAGGCCAGTCTTTCGTCTAAATGAGTTGAAAAAAGTTCGAAAAAGATGTTCCTATTTAAGTTTAAGCTCTCAGGCGATAATTCTGGAGTTTTTTTGGCCGAAACGTGGGCTTTGTTATGTTGGTGTTTTTCGGTTGCTATGGGCGACAGTGGTTTCCTTTGTTAGGTCAAGTCTGGGGAGTGAGGTCACAAAAAAATTCTAATTAATTCTGGTTTTGCTCGATTTTGCTGAAATTTTAACACGATAAAGCTGGATTGTTAAGGAATAGATTTACCGTCTGCCGATGTGTGGTAACTATTAAGTGATATATCGCTTCGAAATCAGGGTTTTGAAGAGATTGTTTTGCAACGTGTGGGTTCGGCGTGATTTTGTAATCGGAGGTTTTTGTTGACTCCGAAGGAAAAAATATCCGGAAAAGGTCATTTCGTCGATGATTCAAANCTGTATTTTCGTTTTCGTGCCGAAAGCCATGCGATGAAATATTATCGGTTTGTTCTGCTGTCTTGTTCTGCTTTTTCTCTTGGTCTTTTTTGTAGTCCGCCGAGGCCAGTCTTTCGTCTAAATCAGTTGAAAAAACTTCGAAAAAGATGTTCCCATTCACGTTTAAGCTTTCAGTCGATAATTCTGGAGTTTTTTGGCCGAAACGTTGGCTTTGTTATGTTCGTGCCTTTCGGTTCCTATGGGCGACCGTTGCTTCCTTTGTTAGGTAAAGTCTCGGGAGTGAAGTCACAAAAAAATTCTAATTCTGGTTTTGTTCGATTTCGCTGAAATTTTAACACGATAAAGCTGGATTGTTAAGGAATAGATTTACCGCCTGCCGATGTGTGGTAGCTATTAACGCTGAANTTTTTGCAACGTGTGGGTTCGGCGTGATTTTGTAATCGGAGGTTTTCGTTGACCCCGAAGGAAAAAATATTCCGAAAAAGTCATTTCATCGATGATTCAAACGAATATAAATATGTATATGTTCCGAGCGAAATTTCTGCTCAAAAAATATAATTATTGACGAACGCTGGGTTTTTAATTTTTTTCCCGCGAAAGTCAGTCTCGGAGATGAGATTTATTAATGTTTCAACAGCTTTTCAACAGCTTTTGTGGGAAATTGTAATTGTTATGATTAATTGGGAACAGGACATCGTGTCATCCAATTCAGTCTGTAATCACACTCGTGGTCCATTGACCCTCCCCCTGGGACCCTGTGATATGGAATATCTTTGTCTTTCTTTCCCCTTTTTTGCTTTTCTTTACTAAATCCTTTTCCCTTCGTTTTTATTCTTATTTTTTTTATTTTTTCCATCAATTTTAGAAGAAGTTGAAATAATTTTTAGTAGTTATATATGTGAAAGCGCCTGAAAACCTTTACAAATTGCACTTCACGGGAACTAAGATAAGGGGTGAAGTTTTAGATCACAAAGGCCTATCCCAACGAAAAATTCTGTTAAACAAAAAGGTCAGTTGAAAATTTTGAAACTTGACTTGAGATGCACTTTGCTGGTGAACGGGGTTTGCAAAATAATTTTTTTTCTTGAAAGGAGTCGATTAAACGGGAAGACAGGGAAAACTTAACTATGTACTAACACAAGTTATGTGAAACATTTGTCGAGTTTATTATCCCTTTAATTGTTTCTGAGAAACAGTAAAATACAGTTTAACTTGCAACTGGCAACTCCGGCCAAAAGCTTTTAAGAAGCTTTCAGTCATAAAGTCCAAACTTAGCACTTTGTTCTTCTCAGGTTGCCATGAAGACTATTAAAGGACCCTAGTCAGCCTCCGCCATTTTTGATGTCATCGATATTATTGATATTCTGCACAGTGAAGCGTATCTTATTGCTTTGCTGGAAGTTGTGTTCCTGAAAGTATGTTTAATTATGTTTAGTACTTACACAGTGATTTCCTTCGTTTCGATATGCTCCCAATAAAATATAATAGCCAAACTCTCGCATGCAAACAAAACTAAAGGTGTGGCTGACTAGGACCCTTTAAGCAACTATCAGCCCCTGATACGAGCGTATCATGCTAAGCTTGAACTTTATGACTGAAACCTTTTCTTTTTCAAAAGCTTCCAGACATGAAGTTCAAACTTCACAGCTTTTTGAAGATCCTGAAGCCAGTGGTGGTGTTTTCAGCGGCACACGACGATTTGCTGTTAGTGCTGCAACTTCGGGGATAAAAACGGCTACTGTAATAGTACAACCAGGCGCTGTTGAATGCGTACGGGTATTTGAACGCCACTATGTCACCATATTGGATAGGGGTACCATCAACAGCGTTCCTGGAGAAGATCTGGAAAGTGACGTAGTTGTAACTGAACCAGGTGTTCCCTGACAGGCTGCTGGTAGTCCTGAAGAAACACAGATTTTCTCTGGTTCATGACTTGGCATAGAATATTAATAATTATAAATTGCCCAGCAGCTATACTGAGATTTTCCTTAGTCTTTTGATTGGGACCTTACCCAACGGGACAGAGATTTCCCTTCTCTTGTCTTGCAGGGTATTGGGATCTTGAAAGTGCTAAGCGACTAGAAGCATGTTCTTTCTTTATTATTTTTATGTAATTGCACATTTCTGGTGCAATGGTTTTACTGGGACCCTGGCTGGGGTCACAGCATTTTCTTGGACAAGACACTTCGCCGACAGTGACTCTACCCACAAAGGTTTATAAAGAGGTACCAGCGAATTTGAAACCGAGATAAGTTCCAGCAATGCGGGCCATTTTGCCCTACGCAACCTATGCCTTTTTTTATGTGATCCCCTTTTTTGTTAATGGATTTAATGGTAGTAGATTGTTCAGCACTTACGAATACATGCGACATTGGTAACTGGTAGATGTGCTACAATAAAGCCGGTAGCTGGTTCCATGGGCCTTGGAGCTTAT